CGCTTGTTTCTAAAGGCTTTTCTTGGGTTGGAGCAAAAATAGAATTATACTATTTGGTTGGCCTTTTGGGATTTCAATGATTTGTAACTTTGATATGTTGTGTATTTTGTGTATGTACTTATTGGGTTAAAAAAAACTTTACATGTATGAAGAATTTCTCTGTGTATAGATTGGATTTGGTGTTCATTTGGTCCTTGAATATAATTGGGTTTTGTATGACTTTGATGTGTGTGATATAAATCAGATAATTACTAGAGCTATGGAGAAAAAGACGGTAAAAAATATGAATTGTAACCTATAAATAAGAAAATAGGAACCTCAACTATTCTTCTAGTCTAGCAAAATAAAGTTCAATATTAGCGTGGCCGTTTCGGCTGAAAGGATGTTGGGAGGATTGGGCGTAGGAAGACAAATCCGATGGATTGCTTGGTTTGCTCCACCACCTGATGTGGTTAAAGTTAAACGGATGGTTCTTTCATTCAGTCTACAGGTATGGCATCGGCGGGAGGGCTCGTGTGAGATGTTGGAGGCCGCTGGCTTGGGGGCTTCGTCCAGGAATATTGGGTACACCACTATCACTGGCGCCGAGCTATGGGGTTTATTCCAAGGACTCCATCTAGCTTGGAATCTGGGGTATCGGAATGTAGTAGCGGATGTGGACAACCAAAGCGTAGTCAAAATGGTCATGGGGCCTGCTGTTGAGAGTTGGGGGATGCATGGCCCTATAGTTAGGGCGGTTATGGGGCCTGCTGTTGAGAGTTGGGGGATGCATGGCGCTATAGTTAGGGCTATTCGAGAGCTCTTGATTCGCGACTGGCATGTGAGTATTGCGCACTGTTTTCGTGAAGCAAATTTTGCAGCGGATTGCTTGGCGACGTTAGCTCACTCGTGTCCTAATGGTTGTCAGAGATTAATTGATTCATCGATAGAAGTCAAACCGTGGTTAACGCATGACGTCTTTGGCGTTGCTTATTCACGGAATACCACTATCTAGAGGTGCTAGGCTTTGGCCTCCTTTTTTTTACCAAAAAAAAAGTTCAATATTAGCAAAAGACTATATGTGAGTTTATTTGTGACGAGAATAAAATGTTAAAACATTTATTTATTTTTCAAATAACTTGTCATATTTTTTTTGAAAAAAATACATATTTATAGTGTAAAATATTATATATTTATTTATTTTCAAAATAAATAGGGCATATTTATGTACTAAAATTTCATATATGAAGAAGCTCATACAGTCATATTTATGTTCTAAAATAAAATTTGACTGTGGCACCAAGTATAATGGACACAAGTGCCACAGTCAATATGAACTTAAAGTTGATAGCTTGAGATTCCTCAGCAGTATGAATCTTAGTGTGTGAAGATAGTGTTTAATAATTTATAAAACATAACATTTCAGTTTGAATATATGCACAAAAATGTACAACAAAGCTAATTAAGTCATTGCGAATATTAAACTGAAAAATGTCTCAAAATGCATAATTTGTACAATCAACTGGAATCCTCAAGAAATGGAGACTAATACACGTCTCCATTTAATTCTAGCAAGAACAGCTTGCGTAGAGACTAAAACCCTTCGCGCCATTTTCATCCTCAATCAAATGAGTCGTTCGACCTTATATTTTTACTTCTTCTGAGATTTGAGCTCGAGCACCCGATCTTCTGTATCCTTCAAAGCTTTTCCATATTTTTCGATTAGCTGATCGAGCAAGAAACAATAGTTCATCAAGTCAGAACAAGGAAAATACAAAATAAGAAATAAACACATAACCGAACCATTCTTGGATTTAAGCTCATCAAGTTGGCCAAAAGAATTTCTAAACCGAGTCGATAGTGAGTTAGATTTCAAACTTTCTCGTTTATTTAGTCGAAACACACCTCGTCAACTTCTTCAAGAGTCATTATGTAAGGAGGTGACATCATTATATTGTCTCCCGCAACACGTATTAACATGCCGTGCTTTTCACATTGTGCTCCGAAATAAGCTCCAACACCTCATGAAGATTTTGTTATTAGTACTAAAAAAAACTTAACATATAATTTTTTGATATTTACCTACAACCATTGTACAAAAAAAAAAAAAAAAAAAAAAA